GAGCTTTGCACTTGGATGGGAAAAAGCCATTCCATAATTTGACTGTTCAATAGCCAAGCGGTTGAGTGCAAGTTGAACGGCCTGCGGATCGTCACCCAGTGTAGTCCAAGACGACAACTCAGCTACCTGGGAGGAGCTCAACGCCAGCGCTCAACTAAACTTGCAGAATATTTTTGACACATCCTCAATGGAAAAATTGAAGAGGAATTGGGATATATGGTTGGCGGCATCCGGTTTCGAATTTGCCTGTCACTGTGACCAGCCACAGGACGCCTGCGCCTACGGAGGGACCACGGATGGCTTGCGCTGCACCACCCACAGCTCCATCAACACACCCCGTATCCAGTGTAAACCCGAAGGAATAAGACCGGGAGGCATGCGGATGGGAGCCACATTTCATCAACGGAGCCGGCCCACATTCCTTCACCGGCAAACACAAGCACGCTGTATTTGGGGAATCAATCGCACACAAGGCGGTGGCTGGACCGTAGTCCGCTCCACACTGAGTGCATGGAACCACTCTTTGATGCTAGCACGATCACAAGGACCGTGCACCCCGTCCCCTCTAGCAACGGCAAACTGTCTCCTGGAGCCAGTATAGACCTCGGCAAGTGCCTTCGTGAACAGATCCCGCAATGCACGCCGATCAACCGCTTTCGATTCCCATGACCTACCTGAAATTAAGATTAGAACGTGAGAGCCCCACTTTGATCATGCCCTGGTAACGAGGCTTCGGATTCCCAAAATGCCGCTGCCCCAATACTCAACTGACCATCTTATAGATCATTCGGTATCCGCGTCGAATACATACGCCACACATGATTGAGCCACCTAAGGTGTCTCAGCAAAAGTATGCAGTCCACTGCATACACTCCACTTCGGGGCAATTCTTCTGTGTCCGCAACTTGGTCGCATCAACCGATGAGCAGAATCCGTCGCAAAACACTTTTGATGGAATCGTTCGAGATATCGCACATCCCGCGGGCACATCGTCCACGTTCCACTGCCGTACAGAAGAATGGACAGCACCATGGACTTGTACACCATCAGCTTCGTGCCAACGGTAAACGGATGGTTGTTCCACACAGTACTCTAGCTTCCCGAATGCCGCCGCTGCCATCGAAACGCTGATACGAAGATCACTGTGAAGCTGCTGGTCAGCCGACTTCACACTCACAAGGCAGCAGAAGCTGGAGGTGGTTTCCATTACTTTTTCACCAATGCTGATTCCCGGCACCATTAATTGTTGCACCTCCGGTGAAGGCTGTAAGAGACAGACAATTTTGCTTGTGTTGATGGTGAGTCCGAATTTGGAGGCTGTCAAAGTCAGAGCATTAGTCATGTGCTGCAACTCATCTGCGTTGTGTGGGAATAACGCACAGTCGTCAGCAAACAGCAACATACGGATAGTTGTCTCACAGACTAGGGTTCTCGCACCGAAACGACGGATGTTCAGCAACCCACCATCAAGACGGTGCTCCACACGAACACCGTAAGCACAAGCCGCATCAAAAGTACAAGACATCGTGGCACGAAGGTAAATACTAAATAGGGCAGGAGCTAAGACACCTCTTTGCTTCATACCAGAACAACTGCAAAGTTATACTAGGTCTGTCCACCCAGCTGCACCCTCACCCGCATACCACTGTGTAGACAATCAATTAAATTTGTAAATTTAATAGGACAACCAAATTTACCCACCACTATCCACAATGCCTCGCGGTTCACCGTAGCAAATGGGTTAGTGAAATCTAAAAAATCGAGCACAAATGCTGGTGTCGTTCTCTATACCTCTCTCCCATCCGCATGCCTCCCGGTCTTATTCCTTCGGGTTTACACTGGATATGGGGGGCGTGGTTGGAGCTGTGGGTGGAACAGCGCAAGCCATCCATGGTCCATCTGTAGGCGCAGGCGTCCTGTGGCTGGTCACAGTGACAGGCAAAGCTGAAACCGGATGCCGCTATCCATGTATATTTGTGTGCCACATGAACATGAAGAAGGTGTTGCGAATGCAAGGCAAATTGGATCGATGCGAATTCCGTGGACTGCTCAAAAGGGCGGTTTCTCAGGTGCCGCAGAAGGCACTATTGTATGCGGAATAGAAGCACATGAGTAAGTCCCCATACAATTTACTAATCCAGGCCAATAAGGCGGTGTATGTGGTACCTTTGTCTGCGTGATGAGTAATCTTGCATTTCAGAAGTAGATGCTGCTTGAGCTCCCCGGTGTGGATGCGCCTGATGTGAATGTTGACAAGGTGCCTACCTGTCTATTACCCACTACCTCGTCCATACTGGCTCCAGGAGACAGTTGGTCGTCGCTGGAGGGGACGGAGTGCACCGTCCTCGTGACGGTGCTAGGCTCAAAGAGTGGTTCCATGCAACCTGTGTGGAACGGGCTACGGTCCAGCCACCGCCTCGTGTACGTCCGGTGTGTATGATTTCCCAATTAGGCCGGAATGCTTCCGTTATGCTTGTTGAAGGAGTGTGGGCCGGCTCCGTTGATGAAACGTGGCTCCCATCCGCATGCCTCCCGGTCTTATTCCTTCGGGTTTACACTGGATATGAGGTGTGTGGGTGGAACTATGGGTGGTGCAGCGCAAGCCATCCATGGTCCCTTTGTAGGCGCAGGCGTCCTGTGACTGTCCCCATGGACGTCACAGTGACAGGCAAATCCGGATACGGACGCTGCCAAATCATGTGTGCCCCATGCTGAGGCTGATGTTGCATTCTAGATGCTTCTTCACCGCAGTTGGGCTAAACCAACTTACACTTAAACTAGGTCTGTTTAAGCTGGATAAATTTCATTCCACTTTATTTGGTTTGTTCTTCGTACTTGATAATCATCTCCCAACTTGCACACGTCGCTGATGCAACTAGTGGCAAACTTGCGTAAGTTTATCGCGTGGTATTTTTTAAAATAACTTTCGGACATTTTGTACGTATCGCGTATTCACCTCGAACCAATTTCTTCCATATGCTCATTGTACTAGTATTTATGTCTTCACATGCGCTTATTTTATTCGATATCCGCATTTTGAATGATTGGCTGTTTTTTGACATCCCACGTGTGGCTGCGCTTGATGTGCATGTTGACAAGGTGCCTACCTGTCTATTACCCACTAACTCGTCCATACTGGCTCCAGGAGACAGTTTGCCGTTGCTGGAGGGGACGGGGTGCACGGTCCTTGTGATCGTGCTAGCATCAAAGAGTGGTTCCATGCACTCAGTGTGGAGCGGACTACGGTCCAGCCACCGCCTTGTGTGCGATTGATTCCCCAAATACAGCATGCTTGTGTTTGCCGGTGAAGGAATGTGGGCCGGCTCCGTTGATGAAACGTGGCTCCCATCCGCATGCCTCCCGGTCTTATTCCTTCGGGTTTACACTGGATACGGGGTGTGTTGATGGAGCTGTGGGTGGTGCAGCGCAAGCCATCCGTGGTCCCTCCGTAGGCGCAGGCGTCCTGTGGCTGGTCACAGTGACAGGCAAATTCGAAACCGGATACCCGCCAACCATATACACCTTAGAAATTGTTTTGAACTAGGTAGGTTTCCCTGTGCTCCAAATCTAATATGCCCACAGTGGACAAGTAAACGGGAAAAGTTAATGGCACAAGGTTTCTCGGATGTCCACTGTCAAATCGTGCAGCTTAACGGAAAATAAACTAGAAGGGGAACAGCGTGAGCCGCTACATGCTCCACTTGCGTGTGTTCTCCATAGGACGAGGTCCGTTGTCAACCTGAAATTGGTTAGTCACAGAGGTAGACCACACTCAATAACTATTGTTCTACATCCGCAGTGTCCCCTCCCAGAATCCGACTATTCCATTCGGTTGTGTGACATTCGCATGGCCGTTAAGTATCTAGTGACTCGCAATGAAACAGCACATGGTTGTTGCTTAGTTCCAAGTTGGTCTGCACTAAGGATCATCACTGCGTGCCAATATGAACAATATATAAATACATTTGCAATAACTAACCCAAGTATCCACACAGTGTTAAGTTGACAATCGTTAGAGATAATTGCTCACATTAATTAAGTGGAGAAGATGCAAGGGCTTACTGAGCGCTTCGTCATCTCACACGTGATATAACGTGGTAGAATTGGGCTAATCGCAGCCTCTAAGTAACGATGGAACTCTTCATCTGCTTTTCTGTGGAGCTTCATCTAGTACGCAATTAATTCATGTAGCGGAACATCACAGACAAAAATTCAAAATTTTGTTTATGTTAATAAAGTGCACGGTAGGGAACGTTCGCTCTCACAGCTGTGAGAACGTGCGTACATTGCCGCCCGCATGCTGTTGCGTCCGAGTTAATTAATCCGATAGTGTCGCCAAGTTGAAGTCTCTATTTGAGATCCACAGAGTTTGAGGTGACGGACATCCTGGACAGCCGTCCAGGATGTCTGTCACCTCAAACATCACCTCAACCTCATACTTTGGCAATGCACTCAATGCACTGTCGCATAATTCGAGATCTGATTTTCATTTTCCGTATGTTGACGGGAAAAATAGGCCTGGACTTGTCTTGGCTATTTATCAACGCTAAATTACCTAGTTTCCGCTGTCATCCGAAGCGTAGAGTTTAAGGTGTTGTTCTCTTCTAGTACTAGATGCAGTCCCAGTGATCAAGATGGTATAGGCTTACTTCGGAGTAAACCGTGGCACCAGTTGAGACTGCACGCTGCAATTAAGACTCACGGCAAGTACTCCAAAATCCGACAATCACTAGTTGATGCACTTACGTCAAACCGGCTGGTAGCGACATTACTGGACAAAAGTGTAAACTGGCTGCGAGCTAACACAACCTGTTCCTTACTACACAGTGGAAAGGTAACTAATTTCACTACATGAGACGGATTCAAGACAACTGGATTCCGAGCATGTAGACTGGATTTCAGCAAAGAAACGGATAAAACAAATTCAACTCGCGCTCCCGTAAGTGTTGATGACGAAGACTTAGACTAATGACGTTACCCATAATTAATGATCCACTCACCATGGCTTGTTTAACTCCGATGGGCTGCACGCGATCCGTATTCCTCAGTGCTCTTCTCGAGAAGTGCTGAGTATCTATCCATCTGGGCGCTGCAATGCTCATCATGCAGAACAGTAGTATATTTGTCTGTATCCAACCAATGAAGAGAGATACCGGAGCCTTCATTGAAGGTGATTTGCGATCGGTGGGACGAATAGGTGTTTCCAACGACTATCCGAGCCAGGTAGAGTTGAAGGATGAACCGTGACCCTGTCGTTACACTAAACACTAAGAGGCGCCCGTGGCCTGCCGAGAAGCACTGGATAAGGCATAATGATAGAGCGGTATAAAGAAGTTAAATTCACCTGTCAACCTTATGACCAGTGCGGATGGCCACATGGACGCAAGTGAATCGATCAGTCCATCTGGACAATTTCATATGAAACATCTCGTGTGGCTTGCGGTTGATGACTCGAAAACTCACGTACACACACTGTGCAGTGTTTACATTCCACCGGCGCCGGGTCGGCTGATCCGCCCCCCGATTTGGGTCAACAAAATGAACAAGACGCATGTGTCGGGCCCGGTTGAAAAGGACACAGAGCATGTGCAGACACGTAGTAAGGCACATGTTCAAGTTCATTTGCGACCTGAAAAGTAAGACAATCCTGTGAACGTTCCTTCAATGAACTGGGAATTGTCAAGGTGATTTGATATTTTGTTAAACCTTAAAACAAAAATCGCAACACATCCTGGCCAACCAGTTACTGCCTACATATTCTGCCCCACCTGTCCATATCGGATCGGTCAGGTGAATTAAGAAAGAGTGAAGGGTAAACAGAAAGCATGGGGAGGAATGTCAATTAAATAATATGAAAGCAGGGGAGAAAGTGAAAAAGGGAACAGGCGAATGCCGAAGACAAGTCAGTCAGGAGAAAAAAGCGGTTTAATATTACGACATATAACACTCAAAATCCTCAACCGTAGATTATCTAATGGTGTGTACCGGAACCGAGATCCGAAGCATTATAGCTCAGCCTGACAAACCTTTCCGACTAATCACATCAGACCGCGATTTGTGCAGCTTCAACTGGTGACCGCGGAGACCAGGCATAGTAGCCAGACTCAATAGCCACGACAAGTCTGGACCGATCTTAACCGTTAGAATACGGCATGTGATGATCAACTCCCCTCTAATTCTCCGGTAGTGCATTGAGTACATTCGTAAGCAAACGTTCTAGATACCTTCATCTCCGAAAACCCTGCACTAACTTTGTACCCAGTCGCAAAACCCTCCCTAGTTCCAGTTTGTCCCTTACAAGACATGATCGACAACCCAGTATTCTAAGTGGGGTCGCACAAAAGCCGAGAAAAGCCTCATAAACCTATCGGCCGTCAAGCCTCCGATAGAGCGGCGAATTAAAATCATCAAGCAACTTTGGTCCAAATTTGTAAACGATATCTAGATCAATCTGCGAGTGCCAAGAAGGATTTCACTTCCACCAACAACATAGCGCGTGGGGGCACTAGCAGCTCCGATGCGGAGGACAAAACACTCCACCTGACTTATAGGCATCAACCATAATGTTGACCAATCCCAGAGTCTATTCAAGTAACTCTGAATTGCTTTAGAGCACCCAAGACTATCACAATAATCTAGAGCTTCAGCTCATTGGCCAAGAGTGCAGACGATCCAAGCTTCTGAAGTAAGTCACAGACATAAACTGCGAACAGCAATAGCCCTAAAACCGAGCCCTGCGGAACGCCGCTAAATAAGATACCTAAGTGAAAGGCTAGGTCCCAAGTGTACACACTGTTTTCTCCTCTCCACGAAAGCAGACACCCAGTTAAGGGAGCGACCAGGTACGCTATATGGCCTCAACTTTAATGTGGCTCATAAATGGGGGACAATATCAAAGGCTTCCGAAAAGTTAACGAAAAGCACTTCAGTGGCGTGAACCCTGTTCATTGCATCAGGATGGCTATCACAAGTTACAAGTAAATTTGTCAGCCACGAAAAACCCCTATGGACTTCGTGTCGTGCAGTAATCCAAAGTTAAATTTGCTCAGATTGTTATCCACGAAACTCTTCATCAATTTTTCAAACCATTTGACTGCTAAGCTTGTCAAGCGTACAGGCCAGTATTTCACAGGCAGAGCAGTCACGACCAATAAAAATCGGACAAATGATTATCTCCTACCATTCCGAAGGTAAGGCACACCTGTCAAGTCATTTTCAAAACACACACGTTAGACGACCATTTACATCATCAGTTCATTCGTGCAGCAACTTCGGATGACTTGAAGTAAGGTCGGAAACTTTAGAAGGATTTAGTCCTTTCAGTAGCCCGAAGAGTTGAGTTTCCGTCATGCTTACTTCAGTTAGGCAGGAATCCTCCGGAAATATTGAGATCAGTTCAATCTGTGGTAGACAAATCTCACAAGTGCAGGCTCTGGTATACTGTTCGTTAAGTATACAAGCAGTGATCACAGTAAGTAGGCGCACTGCTCCCGTCCACTCGTAGTAACGATGGTGTTGACGAGCTTTCACGGCTGCGCCTATTTAAGCAAACAAAGAATATCTTGAGATTATTTACGGTTAAGTCAATTAAACCTTTGTCGTATAAGAGAAGCTAAGTCTTCGGATGTTATTTACCTATAATTTTAACCTCTCTACCGCTGTCGTAAGTTCCGTCTGGTGGGACTATTGCGTAAGTTCGCAAGAGTCTAGATCGCTTCCTGACCAGGTAGTTGTCCGTGAAATGTATCTTTGGAAGCTACGCTTGTGCCTCCCTTTTTAATAAGCGGGATGCAGGAAACATGAATGAGAGATGCATCAAGGCTCTTCCAGACTGTCTGAACATTGTCGGTCTCGGTGATCTCCCTGGCTTCCTGGCGTTAAATTCTGCCCGCCAAATATTCGGACATGCCTCAGTGGTGGCCCTGATGACTTCTAAAAAGAACATACCGAAGATTTGTGGACAGTTTTTGGCCACTAAAGACGAACCGTATGTATTGTCACTTAGGAAAGCGTGACTTCGTGAAAACAAAGTCCACAGAAGACGGCCTCCGGGTGCTCATGTACCTGTTTGGGAGGTCAATGTATGGTACTTGCAGCGTTAACTCGAGAAGATCCGAGCCAAAAATTTCCAGCGCCGAGTGCAAGAAAGATAATCACGACAAATTCAGGAAGCTTGAACTTCCCCAGTAACTGACACCTGTTGGCTGCGCGAGTACGAAAAAACCCATAACTTCCATGGAATTACTTCCAGGAATTCGATACATCACTACGACTGTAGACTGAGAAGAAGGTGTACACAGAGGCCGACTGAGCTTCAACAGCTTTATCTAACGATCGAACAAAGCAGGTCTTCAAAAAGTGATATATATATATATATATTTACGACCAATTTAACAGGCACAACTAAGCAGCGCGTAGCCAGATAGAAATACTTCACCGCCCGTGAGGTCAATAGAAAAATATGTTTCCGTGAAAACTAGTATGCCTGGACGAGATTTGTCCACAAATAGGCTCACCACGTATAACATTTTTCTTATACCGAACATATTACTGAGTACCTAAAGGAACTCAGTGCAGCCAGTCCTGGGTCGTGCGCCATCATTATTGGTTCTGGTACGGTGAAAATTAGCCGTCGGATGATCACCCAAAGACCCACAGATGAAGGCTTTCCTCGCCAGACGCCCGCGTGTTTTTGAGTTTTTTATTAGCCTGCTTTAACTTCAGCCTACCCACAAGTGGAAGAGTTTACTCGACCCTGACGTTTCGGCCATGGAGTTGGAATGCAAAAGGTAGTAACGTTTCGTCCTCCTCTGGGCTATGGGGACCACACAAAGTAGTTGGGATCGCAGGTCTGGCATACCGACAGGGACATTCTCAAGTCTGGTCATTATTCTGACTGTAACACTAAGTAAAACAGGGGAAAAGAGGTTAGTTATAAACTTCTGGAATCACTGGAGGTCGTCCATAATGTGTTCGCTGGGAGGATTTGCGGCAGATTCAGAAACGTTTCGTAAAGCAATGATGCTTTCCGCATTAACTTCAGGAGTTTTCGACTCAAATCCGGGTTAGGTCTGTTTCGTCGAAGATAACACCGCGTTTCTTCGCCGAAGTAGATGGGATAATCAGAGTTGGAAGTTTGTGCTCCAGCTCCAGCACTTTATCGGCTATAGTCCCATCAGACTTGACGGAATGTTTCGGAATTTATTAGTCCCTTCCCGGGCGTTGTTAACTAGCGTAGGGGCTATAAATTAGGCATCGCTTTGAGCGGATTTAAATACTCGATCGGATGGCCTCGTCAGTATCATTCTTGATAGAGTGAGCACTAGGCACTGTAGCCGTCATCTTAGGCGGATTTTCACAGACGGCAATTGAATTAGGCTGTATCACCACCTACTAGGCCGACATTGATGGAGACACTAAGTGTTTTCATGAGTAACTACGATTTCTGTTCATGAGGCATAAGAGCACACTTTCTCGTTTCCCAGCCGGAAGTTGCTTGATCACACATCTGCGACAACCAGACGCCAAGGTTGGCGGCGACAACCGTCGACACAACTAAACAGTAAGCTATCGCTGGTCAACTGCACCGTGTATCTGTCAGAATTAAAACCGGTGCAAATCTCATAGTACCAGCAGTAGCAAGGCATGCCACCAGAATCGTCAGTCATGGGTTTGAGCAGCCCGTGATGTCACACATCGATTGATTCGGTGTCAAGATATGGCAGGCGATTAGTACCAAGCCAGATCAGGATCTACTCCAACAAGACCTAGATTGCATTTACGAATGGTCAAAGAGGAACAAGCTGCAGTTGAACATGGCTAAGTGCAAAGTGATCCATCTGCGTCACAAGCCGGTGAGCACTTACAAGCTTGGAGACCACACCTTGCAGAAGGCCTTTCAGGAGCGTGACGTGGGTGTATTGGTACATGAAGATCTCGGATGTTCAAAACAAGCAGAGAAGGTGACGAGAAAGGGCAAGCAACACTTCGGCCTGCTTCGCAGAGCCTTCGATCAGTTCGAACCCTCAATCTTTTCCCAAATGCTTAATACCTACGTACGACCGCAAGTGGAATATGCTATACAGGCGTAGCAGCCGTGGCAGAAACAGGATCTTGTTCCTTTCGAAACTCCTCAACGAAGGGCAACCAACAGCTTCAAGGACCTCTTTCATTTGCCCTATCGTTTTAGACTGAAATCTCTAAGAATGTACAGCAGTCGATATCGGCTTTCGCGCGAGATTTCATAATCGTTTACCAGATTTTGAAGAACCCAAACCACGTTTACCGTCCGCTGCTGGAATTGAACCACAAAACTAAGCTAAGAGGTCATCCTCTGAAACTGAAAATACAGTATGGCCGGCTTGAATTCGTAGAAATTTCCTTTCCCTCCGCGTGTGCCAGCCTTGATACGCGCTCCCTAATTATCTCGTCTCTGCTCCCAATTTGGCGATATTTAAAAAACGTGTTGACGATGCATTGTCTCACTTACATTTCATTTTATGACTTGTTAGCCAGAGGCTACAAAACGCAATCAAACGGTGTCTTGCCAAACGCCTAACCAATGGATTTGTGGATTTATACGTTTAATACGCGAACATC